TTTCCTAGCCGATTTATGGAAAACTAGTTTTCCGAAAACCTCGAAACTTTTTGTAAATAAGTCACGATAAAATTCTGATCAAAATGAGTAATCTCCCAGCCCTACACAACCTTTTTTTGCAAAGTTATAGAGTTTACTGAAAAAGCCCTAAATTCATTTTTCCATTTTCTTTCTGTAACTCTGAGGTGACAATGAACATTTAGGGCTTTCCCTGTAAACTCTATAACTTTGCAAAGAAATGTCGTGTAGGGCTGGGAGATGACTTATTTTGATCAGAATTTTGCGCGCTACAATCGTGACTTATTTAGAAAAAGTTTCGCGGTTTCGGGAAAACTGGTTTTCCATAAATTGAAATGATAGCCTGTGTAGTTGGAGGCTATCATTTTCATCCAAAAGGTTTCGCATTGAAGAATCGTTTTGCCGAAGACGGTACTGCTTGGAAGGTATAATGTACACGGATGTGACTTTTTTGCTATTTATAAATGAATTAAGTATTCTAATGATAAAAAGTCCATGTAAAACCTGTTTTTGTTTGTTTTTGAAACACTTTGTTCGATTAGACTATGTATTATATATGAAAAAAATTTGAAGATGCTGACAAGAGGAGAGAGAAAGTTACGAAACCAAACGAATTAATTTTATTTAGCCTTTCGAACAAAAAACTAAAGCATTCATAATTTTTGTAAAAACAGCCGTGGAACGTTGGAAATGGTCTTGTTTAGTATCCCGAGTTTCTTCTACATTAGGCTATGTTCAACTTAAAGGTGGAAACTTTAAAATAAAGAGGGGCGGTAATCCTCACTACATTCTTACTCTTTATTGTTATTTTATTCCTCATGTGATAATTACAGACGCAAAATATCTCCTATCCGCCAACTTGGTCAACATATTTACGCGTACAATTATCGTTAGACTCTTAAAGTCATTCTAATCGTTCTATTTTTGAAAATCTGGAGGAGTACATGTATATGCATTCTGCATAGAAACAGGATAAGTATCCTTGCTTTTATCTTTTCGTCATCGGGTGAAACTTCACTATGCAAAAATTGTTTCAAATAGGTCAGACTGTAAAACAAAATTAAAGTCACTTTACTTGTTGTTAATTAGGTTGTCGAAGTAAGCTTCGATAACTTATTGCTTTTCACTAAAGCCATTGCTGCCTAACAATAGTCTTCTTTCTTTTTCCTTTCTGACACCTTTTGGACCAACTTTTGTGCCGGTTTTTCTCAGTTATTATTTATCATATAGATTCGGGACAAAGACAAATCGAATTATTAAGTAGTTTTGACGGCCTTTCAAGAATAATTTTGTCAACACCTTATTTAATTATCGTGTAATCAATGCCTAAAAATGATAAATTTTTGAAAAATATTGATTCTATATTATATTGTATGATTTAATTAACAGCTGATCATAGATACACAGTGTAAAGGATGTATCAGAGCTCCTGCCGATCCACCCGACTCGATGACCCGGTCCGAGACCGACCCGCCTCGGACCAGGCCGGGCCGAGCCAGTCGCTGTTTTTTCTTAGGCCGAGCGGGCCGTCCGAGAAAAGTTTTTAGCTCGGTCGGGTCAGCGTTTTTTACGGTCCGGGCCGGTCCGAGAAATTTTAAAATTTTTCTCCATATTTTCAGTTAAATTTGGCTATTGCCTAGTAACAATATGCTATTATTATTTAGTGAATTCTGTTGAGAAAAAAAGAATTTGATCAGTGGTCAATTCAGGTGACTAATGATAGAAGAAGAAACAAATACACCATCTAAAGGAATTCTATCCTTTACTGAGTTTATTGTACAATAGATTCTTGAATATGTGCTGTACAATATGTATATGCTGCTGAACTAATCTTTAGCAAAGCTTTTACTTCGTTATTGCCATAACAAAATTGAATTGAGTCTAGAAACAAACAATTACAGTCGGACTCAAGCCAGGCGGTCCAGGAAAGACTACTGGCCGGGCCGGGCCAATCGATTAGCATGATGGGTCTGACAGGCCTCGACTTTTGTTGGCCCGGCTTGGTCCAGGGGGTCATCAGAAATTCACCCGATTAGGAGCTCTGGGATGTATCTATACGTATAGGTAATGAATCACATAGAGAATTCATTATAGTTACATATATGCATCTATGAATATAAAGTGGAGAATGCACAGCACTGTACCTGATCCGTGAAAACAGTTGATTAATAGAGGCTTTTTATGTCCATGATAAACGCACCGTTGCTTAGTCTTATGTTAAACTCTTTATATTATCTATGTGTTTCACAAATTTTTTATTTTTGATGAGATTACAACCAAGGATGCCATCTCTAACGCTTAGGGGTGTGACAGTTTAAGCTCGTGAACTGTGAGTAAATGTAGTAAAGAGCTGGTGACCATCTCCAGCTCCTACTCATGTGAGCTGTTAACCAGCTCCAACAGTTTTATACTCCAGAGCTGCTAAACAACTCAAACTATTTCAAAAGAACTGTTGTAAGAACTGATACTGAATAGATCGTGGAACGGCGAAAATATAGTATCATCATTCAGGACCTTGCTAAACACAACAGCTAACACCTTGCTCACACTATAACAGATTGTGTTGACTGAATAATTCTTATACCGAAAACCATGCGGTTATATATATACGCACACAAAAAAGGGATATACAATTTATGCGTTAAAGGGAAGAGTGAACAAAAGAGAAAAAATGTGAAGAGAGTATGCCATCACATTTGCTATCTTAATAAATTGTGTGAGGCTTGACTCTATCTACCAGCTTAATTCCAGTGATTAAAATAGAATGGCAATACCAAAAAGAAATTAGACATTAAAGAGATGTACCTAAACATCTACCTAATTTTTGTATTTAGTATGTTTTTTTCTATTTTCAAGGCAATAAAGTGACAGGGCAGTTAAAGTGCATCGTAGTAAGACGTATTATATTTAAGTAAACATCCTTAAACAAACACCAGAGAGAGAACATGCGTCTCAGTATAAACTAATGAACTGTGGTAAAGAGCTGATGATTAGCTTCACCTCCTACTCATGTAAGCTGTTGATCAGCTCCAGCTCCTACTGATGTGAGCTGGCGATCAGCTCCTTTCATATGAGCTTGAAATGATGTGCTAGCTCCCGCTCTCAGAACTGATATGGAACTGTCACACCCCTACTAACGGTCCAAAAAGCGGAAAGTCGTCTTAGAAAAGCGGACAGTATGTTTTTCTTATTTCAAGTGTATTTTCTTTTCTTCTTGCTAGTCATAGCGATCTTTTTCGCACGAGACACATATTCATATAGCAATACATAAAAAATAAGCATAGATATTTATTGTACACGTTGTCTTTCGAAATTATACTTTTTCACCGATTGTATATCTGTCAAGGTCGCTACGATCTGCTCACAGTTAAACAAGACCAGAATTTCTTCGGATGAGTCATTGCGAACATATTTTCACTAAAAAACGAACAGTACTGTTTGAGTATGATTTTTCAAAATTGCTGAAAAGCGGACCAGTTGGTAACCCTGGTTACAACACAGGTTTCACAACTCTCTAATCTTTAATTATAGTCGCCAAAAACTAGTGAAGTAAATGAATGAAATTCTATAGATAGATCAAATATAATTTGTTTCACAAATGTTAGCAACAATCAGTAAACTTCGACGATTTTTGAATCTTTGCGAAGCGTAATTGACAATCCATCTAGTTGTGTATTTGTTTCTCCGTATTTGTACTATGATTGGTTCATTACTACCATTACTACCATAATCTATCCACTGACTGTACTAGCCTTCAGTTGTCTATTTTGCCGCTGATCGGTGAATACACTTTCTGATCGACAATCTAATTAGCTCTATAAATTTTCTCGAGTTTTGGCCTCCAATGTAGCATACACATGCGCTAATGACATATCTAACCTAGAAAGGACAACGCGAGCTATTAATGGAGTCCAATATTTTTCTTCTCTCTGCTATACTTCTACACATACTGCTCAATGATCGGGGTGCATTAAACTTGTTCCTATTCTAGAATACTAAAGTATTTGGATTCTGATTAATTTCGTCAAGGCTGCAAAGGCTTTTCGCTTAAGTGGGGCTTCGCCTCAATCTTAATATTTAACAGAGGTTTTCAGAAATTTCGGGCACATCCGGATATCCACTAAAAAAGCAGCGTGTTATTCCTAATCTCAGACGTTGCTCATCGCTTTCTAGTATATTTGTCCTAAAGAATGACTCGTTTTGTTCTCGTTAAAAAAAATGATTTTGTTATGCATTTAAATCTCAAGCATGACATATGCTAGTCGAAACTGTTCAAGCGTAGTTGCTGACTAACTTTTAGACTTAATGAGTTTTCCTGAGTAACATTTCTGAGTGAACATTTGACTATCTGTACTTGCAAAACTTTTGCAAAGAAGTTATATCGTACATTATTATTTTTATTTACTTTAGATTGAAACTATGTGAGGAAATCGCAAGGTCAATCATCTGATTTTTATTTTGTTTGGGAAATTTAACTTTTTTGTTAGCTATATGATAATATCAGCTAAAGTATTTTTACAACGTGATTTATTCGACATCACTACGTTGTTCTCTATTTATTTTCTTGGGCGATATTTGAACGTAAGTTAATACTCAAGTGACTTTTCGCTCAAATACAATATCTTATGTGCTGTATCTCAATCAGATTTTCAGGATGAATAGACCATATTTTTCTGTTTTTAGGAGTTATAAGTGACAGGAAGCGCAAAATGATGCGTTCAACACAGTGTATTTTTCTGAAAAATGAGATCATCTAGAGAGATTAGGTTTGTTTCAACCTTAATCAAACACCTAAACGTCAGAATTCATTATAGTGATTTTGAAACTGGCTCGTTGCTGCTTTTTAGCATGTAGTGAACTGAAAGAGAGATATGGTGTCATTTGTTGTAGAAGCTCTTTCGATGCGTAAAATTACATGTTCTTCGACGCTGTGTCAAACACTTTGACACAACACAAACATATCTTTTTGTTTAGAGTTTCACATGATGGTGAACACTTCAAAGCTCTCTAATGAATCCGTGACACCCACAACGGTTGCTACAACGACAAAAGATATTAAAGATGGGAAAAAATCGTCGTTGCTATCGCCAACTAATGAAAAAAAGAAAACAAAAAAATCAATAACAACAACGACGTCTTCTTCTTCATCGTCGAGAACAACGAAAAAAAATAAACGAAAAGATTTATCATCGAATAATAGTAGGAGTAAATCAAAATCAGTGACAAATCATCGGCGAATATCTTTTTCGAATATAAAACAACAATCGCAAAAACGTCCACGATCGCTCAGCGATGAAAGTACATCTTCAAGAAGTTGCTCATCAGACAGTTCCTGTTCAACATCATCGTCCAATTCTTCTTCAGTTAATTCCTCAGTATCTTCAGCAAACTCAATTTTACCAAAATCTGTAAAGACAATCAAAATGGCAAAAAATAATGATAATCTAGAACCAGCAATACAACTGACAACTGATAATACTTATGACATGGAGATAAACACAGACAAAAACTTGACAACAGCACTACCAGCAACAACAATAACGACAACGATCACGGATGAAAATAATAGTGATGATAAAAGTCGACGTTCCATTGCTGAAAAACATATCAAAACCATAACATCAAAAACAAAAACGGGAAAACACGATCTTATTGATGGTTTTGCATTTTTATCGTTCGAAAATAATGATGATCTGTTATTGGCCTATGAGCAACATCAACAATTATTAATTGCACATAATAAGCATAAAATAAATGAACGAAATAGGATAACGATTGGAAGGAAAACCAGTAGAAAAACCGATCAGTCGTCAATAATGATATATGAGGCAAATCGTTCAATGAATATATCATGTAATCCAACAATTAAAGTAGATATCGCCCCATCGTCATCAAATACACCATTAATTAGTTCTTTAGATGACAGTAAACCATTCATAGTAAAAAATAATCAACAGCAGCTCGATAAATTCGATGACGATAGGTTAGTACAAATCATAGTGTTTCTGTGTATCACTTTCGCAGAATTTTGCATAAAAGATAGCATACGTATAGATTGACAATTTTAACATCTCTGAGTCAGTATTTGTCTTCATTTCTTGACATTTCTCTAGTGAAGAAGTGACATAGATTTTTTTTCTTTTTTAATTTCACCAATAGAGCTTTATGGTTATCACCAACCAAATCTTGCGTGGATGGTAACCGAGGAAATTATACTAATTCGAGATCGCCCAAAATTTTATCGCCCACTCAACAACAACACATACATAACAGTACAACTCAACCCTTCTTATCATCACCAACAAAGCTACTTGACAATCAATATTATCTGAATATGATTAAAAATGAATCGGTGGATCTCACGAAAAACGACATTGAACAAAAAAAGAAACAAAATTTGTTATTAAAAACATTTGAACGTACTTCCAATGAAAATTCAGTTTCAACAAATGAAAAAGAACCTGCCATTATAGATGAGAACCATGAGAAATCAAGCTTGGTCGGTGATTGCTGTCTATCTTCGTCACATCGGGATTCAATATGTTCAAATACAACAACAACTACACAAAATACGAATCAAACACTACCAAACCATCCAGAGTCATCTCATCACAATCAAAACCATCATCACTGTCATCACCATCACAAAAAACACAAATCAAAACATTTGAATGACAAGTGAGATATTAAGAACTGAAGTCAGTGATCACTTATGCTTTTTTTTTTTTCATTCTAGTCAACAACAAATTCCTAAACATACAGTGGTAACACAATCATCAGAATTGAATAAAGAGCAACGTGCTCCATTGACGATCAAATCAGAGCCAAACCTATTTGATTATTCTCAATTTAAACAGTTTCCTCCTTTTTCTTCATCACCATTTGGACCATCATTGCCATTCGATCCAATGATTTATTCACGTTTTTATAATCCTCATCATAATTTTGAGTTACCTATACCACCGCCGCCTTTATTTTCGTCAGGCCCAGCATTATTTCGTCCTTATCCAAAATCAGATGAATCTCCAAATACATCTTCATCGAGTTCAGTTAATTTATCACTCGAAAAAATGCTGTCATCGTTTTATCCTACTTACATTTCAGCTGCGACTGCTGCAGCGACAAACACGCCGTCTTCTGCAAGTATCAATGTAAAAATGGATCCAACGAATATGTGTCCTAATTTATGGTCACGTGAAACTTTACAGCGACAATTAAACTCACATTACCTCGCTTCGCATCATAATCAAAATTCTTTTCAGCAGCCACAGGTATGAACTGAAGCTTATATAACATCTGGAACCCTTATTTTAATGTAGATATTTTTATTTAGGCTGATAAATTATTAACACAACCGAAATCGGATGTGTCTCCTACCCAGTTTTCTTCAACAACAAAGGTAACTAATCCATCTCCAAAGCCTTCTAATAGTACATCAAGCACCGATTTTACTCCATTACCGTATCATTTACCACCACTGATCTTCACAGAATTTCATCAACATCAACACAATCATAACCATACACATCAGCACAATTTAAATTTAACAACAAAAAACGATTCATTATCTAAATCACCCGCAATAACCCCGAATTCTACTGTGACAAAAGAAGTACCGTCAAAAAAGCCATCGTCACAAACAAAAATGAAATTTTCTGTCAGTGAAATGTTTACCAATGACAACCACGCAAATAATAACTCAACAGTGAAAAGATCAAATGAGTTATCATCCAGAAATCATGCATTTTTATCAGTAAATAAATCTTCAGTGAAAAATAGCTGCCCTCCAGCTCCAACAATTAAACCATCTAATGGACGTTGGTCAAGTGCTCATGTTCATATAGCGTGGATGATTTACTATCAAGAACAACGAGTTCGCGATAAATTTGGTTTGACATCACCTAATAAACAACAAAATCCTGCAATGAACACGTTACGACCACCGTTTTTTTCCTTTGATGCTCAATCCGCTTTATTTTCTTCTCAAAATGATCTGAATGCTCGTAATAATTTTAGCCCATGGATGGCTCAATCATTCAAATCATTACCACCATTTCTTCCTCATCAAGAACAATCACCATTACTTAGACCTCCGTTTGCGCCTGTTTTAAACAAATCATCTTCATCGACAAGTTTAACGCTGCCTTGTCCGAAACCAAGTAAGTGTTTATATTTATACAAGGTTGAGTAACTTTTTATTATTACACTAATATTTTTGCGTAAACAAACTTTCTAATAACCCAAAACTACATATCTATAGAAATCTTTTTAAGATTAATTAAGAGTGTAGACAATTAATGAAAAGCGAAAAATCAGTCTTACGAAAGTAGTACGAATTTTTTTCCATACTTAATAAAAACTTGCGGAAACTTATATAAGTAATACATTTGTTGATATTTAGTTGTTACTCCTTCTACAACAATTAAACAAAAACGTGATTCTGAAATAAAACATCAGGCAAAGCCTATTACAATTGATATAACATCGTCGCGTACAACACCATTACCCACGCCAACATTTTTTGATTCTCATATAACAAACGCCACAAGTCTGTTAGATCGTCGATCACTATCTCTCCTTGTGCCAAATCGATCTACACCAGTATCAACTCATCTCTTATCTTCACCTTCTCTGCGATTACAGCAACAACAAAACAAAGATTTATTCGACGAAAGAAGGAAATTTAATCAAGAACAGTTACTTGCGTTTCCACCTTCACCCTTTCTTTCTTCTTTATTGACTAATCCGGCAGCATCCAATTCATCCATGCCACCATTCAATCGACCAACAACATCGACATCAAATATCGACTACAAACCTTCATTATCACCTTATTTTCCGACACCGTCATCATTATTCGATCCATCAACCATTGGTACACGTGCGCCACCATTTTTACCTGATCGTTTAGAACAAGAAAGATATCGGTATTTGTTAGAACAACAGGCACAATTAAGAGAAAGAGAAGTACAAATGATGATGACTGCAGTAAATCATCCATTGAGTGCTCTTCATCAGTCATTATCGACAAACGATGAAAGAATACGTTTTCACGAGAGATTATATAAACCATATTAAATATTCATATTGTTCTATCATTCTGTCACTAAAATTTAGTCAGAATATAAGAGAAAGAGTTATTTAAAAACTATAAAGAGATAGTTAATTTTCCCATCATATTCTTAATCACACAAAAGCAATTTTTTTTTCGTGTCATGTCTTCCACGAATAAATATATTTTTGTTGATGTTTTTGTCTTTTTTTTAATTTTTTTTAATCGGTGCTCGTCATACATTGTACTTTTTTCACTTATCAGTGTATCATGACAAAATTTGTTTTTTCATCGTGCCAGTTATTACTTCTTTTTTTTTACAATCAGTCTGTTTTTGTTTTTTTTCTATGAAAGAATATTTTGAACTCCCTTCTGTCAAATAGAATCATGGTACAGACAAATACTCATAAATACCAATGTGACATTTTATAGTTCCCAAATATTCTCATGGTTTTTTTCTCAAATAAATCTGTTTTCTTTTTAAATTTTTCTAAAGTTGTCTATAACAGTGTTCTTTTTCTTACGTGCAAAAAAGTAAAGCGATAAGACATTTGTTTGTTTTCTTTTGTTTTTTGTATAATCGGACTATTTTGCCAAAAATAAAATTTGTTTTCTCTTTTTAAATATCACATTTCTGGGGAAGGGAGTCGCGTATTTTGTTTGTTTGTTTTTTTACTTTTTTTCTCTAATACAAATTTTTGCGCAGTTGCTCATTAAGCATGTGCTTCTTTTCCCACTCTCATTGTACAGTATTTTTTTTCTTTTTCTGTTGTTATTAACAAGCGCAATTAAATTTGTATTATTTAATCACTTTTTTGGATCGCTATTTGAGTGATTGTCTTTTTGCTCGACTTACAGAATATGTGCGTGTGTGATCAGAGTTTTTTTTTTTCTATTTGCTTTTTTTGTCGTGATTTTTTTTTTCGTTCTCTGTACAGTTATGATTTTGAAAGAAAAATTTAGACATACGATATATTAAATTTGAAATAGTTTTAAAAACAAATGTTAGCGGTCTGATACGTTAACTGCAAATAAACACATATAAGCGACATTATACGCATAGTCAATTTATATTAATTGCCATCTATTTGAAATTCAAACGTTGTTTATTAAAACAATATTTAGTCTTTTCAAACAAGTTTTAGTCGTTCTCATTTTAAGAATAAAATATGTATGTTAAAAATAGATAAATTTAAAACCCCAAGTGTTTTTTGACCATTCATTAAACCATATTTTTTAGAGATATTTGAAACTGATGAAATAGGAATCATATCAAATATGGAATTCGAGAGCCATTATTTATAAATTCCTATAAAGTAATTAAATTTAGATTATATACAGAAATGTTGTTATAATAGTTGAAAAAGAAGTTTTTCAATATAATTACAAACAAAATTTCGTTTATTACATTCTGCAAGAAACTTATAATAGTAATTTTCTATCTCATTTTATTCACAGGATAACTTGAACGACGTTGTTGTTGTATAAGATAATATCTTAGAATGAAACTGTGACAAGGCAAGAATATTTGTCATAGAAGAACAAAGTCGAGATGATATTACATATGCTGATAGACATACAAAAGATAAAAATATATCTTTTTTTCTCATACACTAGAAGAAAATAGCAGGTTTGATGTCATTAATTGTTTTGGAAGATGGAACTGAGATAAACGATGAATAAGTTCTTATTTGTGTATTATAATTTTTGTTATTCGAATTCCAGAACGAAACCTGATTTATGAATATGACAATCGTCATTATCAATTATATTTGTTTCCAAAATACGCTCATCAGTACTAATATACGCAAGAGAGAAAAACAAAGAAATAAATAATCTGTTATTCATCAATTTTTTTCCCTTCTATGTTTTTTTCTATTGCCAAGCAAACAAAAATCCTATATAAAGATTGAAGAAAAAACAATCCGACAAGCAGCCGATTAGTATCGACATAACTAACTTTCGTTTTACATACAACAATTTTATTCGTCCAATTTAAAGTATGTATAAAAGAATATTTACCGAAGTAATTGTACAGAGTTAAATATGATCGAAATTAGAATCAAAACCTCTTTTACATTAATTAGACGACTCATTCTTATAAATACTATATTCACAGAGAAAGAGTACCGAGATGGGAAAAAATAAACCATGAGTTTTGTTTTTGATGTATCCTTTTTACCATTGATGCTAGAGAACCAGTTCAAACGCCAATCGAAAGTGCAGATATTTTATATAAAAATAATTAATACAGAAGACGGTTCAAGTTTTATAAAAAAATATTTTTGTGGAAGTGTTGTGTTTCTGGCTCATCAAAAACGACATTACAAGTTTGGAAATCTAACCCTATTATTGTACCGGTGATAGTTGTAGGTTTCAAAGTGCAAAGAATTAAGGATACATCCCTCCCTCTTTTTTTACCATCTTGGAAATCGGGGAAGCCGATGTCGGATCGGGTTCAAATTTATACCAGAGATAGAACATCGAAAAAGAAAATCGATGTATTTTTACCCAGAATTTTCTGACGTGTTTTTCTATGGGTTTTCTGGAAAACTCCAGTTTTCGTTGGCACACATTACGACCCCCGAAAAAATGGTCTGATCGAGTTCACAATTTTATCACAGATACCTCGGATTCTATCTCAGGTTCGTTTTTTTTCTTTTTGAAAAATATGCTTTCTTTCTCGATTGCGGCTATGCTTATAGCTCTAAGAAAACTCATCGGAAAATTCTAGGAAACATCTCATTTTGAAGAGCACACTCTCTTCTATCATGCGATGTATAAGAAAAAATTTTGAATATATAGGAAAGGAGAGAAAAATTTACGAACCTAAAAAGTTGAGATTTTCTGGGCACTGAAGGAAAAACTTAAAAACTTCATAATCTTTTGAAGGAAGGTTATGGAGAGCTGGGAGTTGTCTCATTTTATAGCCCAGACTTTCCTCTACATTGGCCTATGTCCAGCTCAAAATGACAACTTTTCTGCAAAAAAGAGGGGGGGTTACCCTTAACTATCTGATAGTGATGTAACTTCTACTATAAAGACTCATTGATTGGAGCTAATAAACAAGTAAAACAAAATCATTCGTTAACTGGGATCAGAATTGAAAACTGAACTTGTTTCAGAGTATTCCTCCCCCACTTTTTGGCAAAAGTTCGATTTTCTAGTTAGATGTGGGCACAGTATACAGGTAAGTATGCTCTATAGAATAAGACGCCTCTCAACTCTCAATGACGTCTCAGTTATTCCTTTCTGAGTTATGAATTTTTTAAGATAGGCCACTGGAGATCCAACATTAACATTATGAAGTTAAATCTCCAGTGGTCCATCTTAAAAAATGCATAACTCGGAAAGGAATAACTGAGACGTCATTGAGAGTTGAGAGGCGTCTTATTCTATAAAGGACACTTAACTGTATATTGTACCACATTTAACTCGAAAATCTAAATCTTGACAAAAAGAGGGCGAGAGATACTTTTAAACAACTTTACTTTTCTATTCCAGACCACAGAGAAGGAAAGTCGTTTTTATAAAGTTTGAGCAGTCTTGTGTGTTAGTTCTTTTTATATACAGTAATGTTCAGCAATATCTACTCTTTCGAATGGCATTTGAATTGGCTCTCTAGCATTAATAATAAGAAAGGTATATGAAAAAACAAAATCCATAGTTTATTTTTTTCCTCAACTCGGTAAGTTATAATTGACAGACAAAAGCGCACTTAGAATTAAATGAAGAAGAGAACAAAAAAGCAGACAAACAAAATGAGTCATTCTTTTCAAACACACGACTAGAACAGTTCCGGTAATACAACTGAGTACTAAAAGAATTTTCTCAAATGGTAAAACCAAATTATGTAACAACTTTGCTTTGTTTTTCCATTAGAAGAGAGATACTATTAAAATCTGATTTGATGAGATACCTCTATTTATTAAGAAAATAAAAATGATTGAATAAAATAATCTTTTGCAAGAAACGATGATATGAACTCATGTTCGATAATATATAAGAAAAAGTTATTTTATTATAGTTTTACAATGAAACTTCTTTTGGCTTTTTTTGCTGTACTTTACGTTGTACAATCATTACCAGCCAAAGTAAGTGCATGAGCTCAATACGCACAAACTAATTGATGAATTTGAATTTTATTTTCTGTTCTAGCAACCAAGTTCAGCGGTAAAAATACCAGAACCACAGAAAACATTGCTGCACACGTCAGATCTTGAAGAAGACAGTGACGAAGATGAAGAATCAGTAATACTCGGGGATGTAACATCAACTACTTCCACAACAAGAAAACCATACAACAGATGGTCATCAACGCGAACAAACAGACTTTTTGTAACATCATCGCGTCCCACTGATCAAAGTGGTTTTGGGTCGACTCTTGATAGCCTTAGCAGAATATTTGAATTTATACAAAATTTGCTCAAAAAGATCAAGGCAGTATTCAACTCTAACAAATATTCAACAAATGAAGGAGAAGACGATTAAGTAGATCTATTTTGCTTTGTTTGCTATATAGAGCTTTTATACGATGTATCTAATACCATTATTTTTAATTCGTATAAATAAATTTTGAACTTTTTCTTCAACATATTTGTTAATATCTTGGTTATTGCAATACTGGCAAAATTTAAACAATTCGTAGACAATTGTTTTCGATGTAATTTCTCTCTTCTGGATAAGTTTTTTTGACAATTTAGTTTTAGAGCATTCATAATTTGTTTTTATATGACTGATAACAATCTTTTATACCCACAAAGTGCGTTTGGTACTGCAATATAAGGTGCAGGTAATGCAAAATTTCAGTGGAATTTGTTTCTGGCATTATTATACATATTCAGATTCAGCTTAACGAGCTGATTACGAATAACACGATCATTTCAGAGGTATACCTCTGAAATGAGCTGAAAACCTTTTTCTAAATCAGTTTTCAATGCTGATTTAGAAAAATATAGCTCGAACCTTTCATCTTTCAACAGAAGCTCAAAAAGTCAATTCCATCATAGAGGACGGTTTTTTGTATTTTTGAGGTCCTCTTAGTAATTTGAGTTTTTCTCCATGAAGAAATGGCTTTTGAAGGCTCGGAAGGTGTTATTCGCAATCAGCTCGTTACGCTGAATCTGAATATGTATAATAATGCTAGAAACAAATTCCACTGAAATTTTGCATTACCTGCATCTTAGATCAGAGTTTAAGTAAAAGACGAGAAGATATTCAATTTTAATAAGATCAATTGACATGATGTAAGAAGTTTGAGTTTTTCATAATCTACATGTATTTCATGTTTTTAGTCGACAAATATTTTCTTTCTTGTGCTTCAATGTTATGTAACAAATAAGTAAAATTAGTACAACTGAAAAACATTCATTTCTTCTTCTATACCCATCTAGTAAAACGAAGGTCACATAACGAAAGAATATCCGCACTTATATGATCGATGATCTATATCACAGCTCACATGTTTTAAACTTACAAAAAAATGAACACTTTATTATGATCATGTAGAATACGTCATGCATCAACGGGTAAAATCAAGTTCCTTTTTTGAAATATTAGAAAAAATATTGTACAATCTGAACGCTAACGGTCTATCGTATAATTATGCAGAGTAGAAACAGGAAGAGAAGAAAAAGCAAACATTAGTAATACTTCCTCGAACAGCTGAAAAAAACCCGAACGAATATTGTAAAATAGCTATAACTTTTAATTGAAATGACGAAATACGAATAAAGACACCGATTTAAATCTCAATATTTAGAAAACATAATTTTCATCGAAACGATATAATGTCAAGGTAGGTTGTTCCGTTCTATGAATTTCGATGAACTGATTTGAAGTCTGATTGATAGCTGAAATGCTCTTCACAATTCTAAGTGTGTATGAAATTTTTATCATATATTCGCAGGACTCCCAAGTAAACTTACTTGATTGCTTGGTAAGTACTTAAGAGTACGTACTTGAAAAAATTGGCAAGTATTTTCAAAACTACGTAAGGTACCGGCAATTCGAATGAAAAGTAAAACTTTTATTTTCGTTTTCTTTTACATGGTGGGATAGAGCATATCGAGATGAGTGGGAAAAAACGGTTTTTAAATTTTGAAAATGGTTTCTTTAGGTTGAAAATTTGAAAACCTCGGAAGAATCGATTTTT